CGTGGCTGGCAATGGCCAGTGTGGCGACTGTGGCCAGCCAGACCCCCGCTGGGCCAGCATCAACCTTGGCGTGCTACTCTGCATTGAGTGCTCAGGCATCCACAGGTGGCCTCCCTGACTCGGTGGGGTGGGGCAGGGCCAAGCCAGGTGGAGCTGCAACCTGACCCAGCCCTATCTCCTTGCTGCCCAGGAGTCTGGGTGTCCACTGCTCCAAGGTTCGGTCCCTGACGCTGGATTCCTGGGAGCCAGAGCTACTAAAGGTGTGGGGGGGGTGCTCTTAAAGTCCTCTAGGACCCTTGGTTTGGGTGGGAGTTGGGGTCTTTTGAACTTGTACGGACRTCCACACACCCTTCTCTCACCAGCTGATGTGTGAGCTTGGGAATAGCACCATGAACCAGATCTATGAGGCCCAGTATGAGGGCCTGGGCAGCAGGAAGCCCACAGCCAGCAGCCCCAGGTGAGGTGGGGTGCAGCCCAACTTGGCCAGAGGAGCCTCAGCCAGTGAATGCAGACTCATGTTTGCCCCTGGTCCAGGCAGGACAAGGAGGCCTGGATCAAGGACAAATACGTGGAAAAGAAGTTTCTGCGGAAGCCTCCAACAGCACTGGCCCGAGATGCCCCAAGGCATTGGCGAGCACAGAAGTGCCAGCGCCCCCACAGCTCCCCCCGTGCTCCCACCACCCGCCGCAAGGTCCGGCTGGAACCTGTCCTTCCCTCAGTGGCTGCTCTGTCCTCAGGTGAGAGGGCTGTCAGCAGCCACACCCATTTATAAACCTGGGCAGGATTACCAACCAGGTCCCTGGCCATTCTCTGGGTCTGAGCCCCGGATCCCTGAGAGTCATGGTGGGAGGTGGGTTGGAGACTCTGTCCAACTCCCAGTGTGGCCTGGGGCACCCTCCTATCCTGGTGCTCAGTTTCCCCCTCTGAACCTGTGGCCCACCCCCCAGCAGCAGGCACCTTGGAGCGCAAGTTCCGCCGGGATTCCCTCTTCTGTCCCGATGAGCTGGACTCCCTCTTCTCCTACTTCGATGCAGGGGCTGCGGGGGCCGGCCCACGCAGTAAGTTCTGGGGGGCCCCATCCCCTGCTGCCCACCCCCTTTGGGGGCTGCCACCCCATCCAGGAAAGAAGAAGGGGAGCCAGTGAAGACTCCCTGGCGCATGGACCAGTGTGGAYGGCATTTGCTCAGGGACAGAAAGGACAGCTTTTCCACATAGGAGGGACAGAGCTAGGCAGTGTCACAAGGAGGTTGGGCTGGCCGTGGGGAGAGCTGGAGCTGGAGCAGGGCTTTCTGGTTCACCAACCTGGAGGCTGAAACTGGGACTGTTAAGAGCTGTGTGTGTGTGTGCTCGGCGCACGGCACTGCTGGAGGGCCTATGTGCATGATGGGAATGAGGAGCGGGTGACTGCAGGCAGCAGAGGGCGCTGTCGCCCTGGCCCTCAGCCTCAGGCTTTTCTGAGGCCTGGCTTCTTCCCTGCTGGCCAGGCTGGGCTTCCAGTACCTGAAGACCTCAAAACCTGGCCCTGGGCTACCCTTGGCTCCTTTGAGGCCTGGTGGTTCTTTATCCTTTCCTCTTTCCTAGCTAGGGCTGGTTCTGCCCCTTCCCAGGTCCCCTGCAGGGCCAGTGGGGCTGAGCCTTCCCTGCGGCCTCACCAGCCTGTGGCCCTGCAGGTCTAAGCAGCGACAGTGGCCTGGGAGGCAGCTCTGATGGCAGTTCAGACGTCCTGACCTTTGGTGCGGGCTCAGTGGTGGACAGTGTCACTGAGGAAGGTTGGTGCACACCTTTCTGTATCACCGCAGCCCTGGTATACCCCCACCCAGTGAAGTCAAAGACCCTAACCCTGTCCATCTTCCCGCAGAGGGTGCAGAGTCAGAGGAGTCCAGTGGTGAGGTAGAGGCCGAGGCCGAGGCCGAGGCCGAGACCGAGGCCTGGGGGTTGGCAGATGTGCGTGAGCTGCATCCTGGACTTCTGGCTCACCGCGCAGCGCGCACTCGCGACCTCCCCGCGCTGGCCGCAGCGCTGGCCCACGGGGCGGAGGTAAACTGGGCCGACGCAGAGGACGAAGGCAAAACGCCGCTGGTGCAGGCCGTGCTAGGGGTGAGTGTGGCAGGAAGCTGCACGCCAACGTGTGCATCCTCTCCCCGGCAGGCTTGTCCTGGCTGGGCATGCAGGGCCGAGGGCCCTGGTGTGGGGGCCCTGTAGGGGGCCATTTCTTGGCTCAGTCCTAGGCGCCCGGCTCCCCAGGGTTCCTTGATCATCTGTGAATTCCTTCTGCAAAACGGAGCAGACGTTAACCAAAGAGACAGCCGGGGCCGGGCGCCCCTGCACCACGCTACGCTCCTGGGCCGCACCGGGTGAGTCTCTTGAGCCTGCCCCTCCCGGCCTCACCCGCGCCCAGCCCACCTCGCCTAGACACCGCCCTCCACTCCCAGCCAGGTCTGCCTGTTCCTGAAACGTGGAGCCGACCAGCACGCCTTGGACCAGGAGCAGCAGGACCCGCTCACCATCGCCGTGCAGGCGGCCAACGCAGACATCGTTACGCTGTGAGCACGCGCGGCCGTGGGGGCGGGACTCCGCGAGTCGGGGGTCCTCAGAGGTGCTGCCTCACACTGCGCCCCTCCCCCAGGCTCCGTCTGGCGCGCATGGCCGAGGAGATGCGAGAGGCTGAGGCGGCCCCCGGCCAGCTGGGCCCCCTGGCGGGCAGCAGCCCAACCGAGCTGCAATACCGCAGGTGCATCCAGGAGTTCATCAGTCTCCACCTGGAGGAGAGCTAGGGCTGCGCAGGCCGGGCAGCCGGGGGACCCCAGCCCTGCCCGGCCCGCCCGGCCCGGACCCTGCATGCCCCTGAAAGTCCTGGTCCCCCACCCAGCCACAGCCCTGCCTGCGCAAGGTCCACGGGCCCGACATCCCGACAGCCCCCGTGCCCTGGTGCTCCTGGAGCCCCACGCGCCTGCTCATCCCTCCTCCCGGCTACCCGTGGTCCCCCCTGGCCGGGAGTGAAGGACCCCAGCACTGAGTCTTGAAACCCCACATTTTTGGGGGTGCTGCATCTTCTGGTGCCCCTCACCCCACTTGGGGAATCTCTGTCTTCAGGTGACCCCTTCTTCAGGGGCCTGGATGGCTAACGTCACAAATCACTCGAGGCCTCTGTGCCCTCAGGGTCAGTGTCATCTCTTGCCCCCACTTTTACYGCCGCGGAACACTGACCTGCTAGCTGGGTCCTTCTTACTCACCCCCCAGAGCCCCTCCTCTAGCCTGGGGCTGGTGGCTGGCCACCAGCACCTTCCCAGAGCAGGAGTGGCAGCCCATCCAGGGAACCAACCCAAGTACCTCACTTAGTGACCCCAGTATCAAGGCTGGGCTTTTGCAGGTGCTGGGTGGGTGGGCTCTGGCCTGGGCTCTCTGCCTGGGACCGACGCAGGCGTCCCAAGGCCATGTGGCTGGCCACGACGGCCCCTGGTGCCGGTTGGCCCCAGACCCTCCCTGCCTCCTCCAGGGAGGAACTTGCCCAGAGCCAGGCGCACACTAAACCCACTGGCACTTCCCACCACACCCACTGTTCTTTGTTACCCACTGAGTGGATTTTCTACAACGGCCTTGTTCTGACTTTGTCTGCGTTTTTTTCTCTGGACTCTCAAGGACCACCCTGATCCCAGCTCTGCCTGCTGCTGGGGGGATGCCCCCATAGCTCTGCCCTGCCCCTTCACTGGCCTCGCCCCTGGGACTGAGCCCTCTGATGGGCCCAGGGGTCTTTTGCTAATCTGGGGACCCACCAATGCCTTCAAATTCTCCTTTTGTAAAAGAGCCTCAGGACAGGCTGAGCCCCTCCACAACTGTGGGTTCTTGCTGGTCACTATGCAAATGCTGCCCAGGGAGGCTCCACCGGCAGCAAGGTGGGCACTGGACCGGGGCCCCGATTCCCCTGCCTGCTGGCTGTGACCCTAAAGAGCAGAATTAGCTCTTTCTTCCCTGCTTGAGCTTGCCCACCGCCCACCCTGCCACCTGCCACCCTTAGGCTGGCAGGATCCCCCCCCCCCYCCCGTTCCAATCACTCACGGTTAATAAACCTCTGCCGCTTGCGCCCACTGCCTGCTCATTGGCTCACCTGCCTTGCACTGCTCTGTCTCATCTGGGGATGTGAATGGGTCCTCTGCCCTCCTTGAGCAGCAGCTCTGAGCAGGGTCCCTCCATTGTCCCTTGTCCAAAGGCCAGGGGCCTGATGGGGGACCAAGGACTTCTGGCATCCCCAGCCCCCATTCCCTGGCCTCTCTAACTTCCTCTAGCTTAGCTGGTGACCCCTGGTGGTAGCAGGGGTGGGTGTACCCAGCCAGTAAGGATGGCTTGGGCCTGGTCCTATATAGTGTCTCTCTGGCCCCCATAGTGTGACTGCTGTGGTCTGTTCCAAGGAAGTGTTGGGGTGTGATCTGAGGTCTGCAGCTCACCCCAGCATGGGTAAGAGGAGAGCCACACACACACTCTGGCCACTGTGAATCACTGATTTTATTACAAAGCAGCTGATTTTATTACCAACTTTGCCTTGGTCCTGCCCTGCTTCCTGCCTGGCCCGAGGCTGCCCTGAAGCCGAGGCAGGCTCTGCCTGACATGCACACACACCGACACACAGATGTAGACACCCAGAAGTGCACAGACAGGACGCCAGATGCACCACTAGGGAAAGGCACTTCTGCCCACACACAAGCATGCACACAATCATACCCAGAACTCAGGAATCTAGACAGGAGGGGACCTCCCCTCCTCTCTGCCCTCGACCTGCTCCAGACCCAAGAAATCACTGGTGGGTGGGCAGAGAGAAGCCCTGATGTATCTGCATGCCCACAGACTCAAGTCTTTGTGAACTGTTGGGTGGACCCAACCGGGTGGGCCAGTCTAGCCCATCTTGGACGTCCAGGGGAGCCCACTATCCCATAGGGTCAGGCCTAGGGGTCAGATGCCCCAGGGCTGGTTCAGGTGTCAGGAGGGTCGAGGGACAAGAGCTCAGCCTATCTCTTCTGCCAAAACTCCTTCCAGCGCTCCTGGGACTCTCTGTAAAAGTGAAACACAGCAGTTCCCCCTGGAACTCTGCAGGTATGCCTGCAGTCCCCGGGCTTCGGGACTGGTAGGGCGCCAGGCTGGGACACCCATGCTCTGCAGAGCCGATAGAGGCCCAGCAGGAAGGCTAGGGCCATGGTGTCCAGCCACAACTCCAGCAGTTTAAGAACAGAGAGGACTGATGAGCCAAACCACAGGCTCCAGAGGCTGCCCCTGGCTGACAGCAGCTGGGGAATCTGCGGGTGGGTGACAGTGAGTGGGGTTTGGGGGCCTCCCGCACCTGGGAACCTCTGAGCAGGGCTGCGCTGTGGTGGCCACCAGTGGGAGTGGCCAGATGCTGCCCTGCCTTCCCCCAGCCCAAGCCCTGGATCTCAGGTCACTCACAGGGTACCCGGGTGCCTCACCCACCGTTGGGTGGTTGAGTTCCTGGTAGAGGATATTCACCTTGGCCACACTGCTGCTGGAGTGGAAACAGCTGTGGGGGGCTCACCCAGGAGAGGCTCGGCCAGGATACCCCCTGGAGGAAGGGGTGCATCACCTGCGGCTGTGGCTGTGGCTCCAGCTCTACCGGCCCCACTTGCCAAGCACAGCGACTACTCCCCTCTCCAGAGGGCACTGCAGGCAGGTGTGAGGGCAGGGACTACCCAGGAGCCTGCTGAACCCGTCCCCACCATGCCCTGGCCGCTCACCACAGACTTGGCTGAAGGCCACCTAGAGGTCCCCGCAGGGAGCTTGTATGAAGACTCCCTGGGAGAAACAGGCCAGTGGTCACACCATGCAGCAGCCTAGGGCAGTGACCCCTGACCCTGGGCCCCATCTCCCAACTCACCTGCAGGACCTGGGACAGCAGGAGGCGCCTGCCAGCTAGTCTGTTTCCAGGTCCTGGAGGAGGTGGTAGAAGCAGTGACCTGGAGAGGGGTCGTGGGGGCTGGTTAGGAGCCACCAGGGTTAGGAGCCCCCCATCCAGCCACCCTCTGCAGGGGAGGAGAGCGGGGCTCAACCCAGACTGAGTGCTGCATGGCTGCAGGACTGAGCCCCCGCAGGCAGTGGGTAGAGGTGGTAGGCGCAGGAGCAGGTCTCCACTATCAGTTTCTGGAAGGAAGGCCAGACTGGAGAGCAGCAGAGTTGGAGCGGAGGCCCTGTCTGCATAGGGACCACTCTCAGCTCCCAGACCTCGCCAGCCCGCCCACACTCACCAGCCTGGCGTTGGAGGTGTTGTACAATAATGGCATGGCCACGCCCTCTGCGCACCACGTCCAGCGGGGAGGGGTTTCAGTTCTGCCGACCCTGCCCCCCAGGCCCCCAGGGTGGTGGGCCCAGAGGGTCCCCAAGCACGCCCGCCTCTTGGATGTCAACTGTGGTCTCCATCCCTGGCCGGATACTGAAATCCTGGTGCTCTAATAAGAGCGTGTGGTTGTGCCCATGAACCATGACCCTGACAGCAGCCTCGGTGGACAGCAGCGTGAGATACTGCTGCAGCTCAGTCCTGAGGACCAGACTGATACCTGGTGAAGCTGAGAGGGAGGTGTGAGCCCCCGTCCCTCCTGCACCATCACTGCCACATGCCCACCAGGGACGGGCACTCATTGTGGGTGATACCTGGGTGCTGTGCAGCCCACACACCCTTCAAGGTGTGGCAGCGGCCGTTGGTAGGACATCTGGAAGTGCCTGGAACCTGGGGCCGGCTCAGGTCAGGCCTGCCTGTGGCCTGCCTCCCCACCCAGGATGCTGAGGGGCCATGCCTGCCTTGTTTGCAGCTAGCCCTGGGCAGCCTAGGTGTCTAGCCAGCCAGACCCCAGGATAGAACCGCACTCCACTGGGTGGGACAAAGGACAGCAGTCGCCCTGCCCTGCTCACCAGACCTGGCAGTCCTTGCTGTCATAGTGGCAAGACAAGATGATGTGGCCACGGTTGCTGTGCTGGCCATCCTCTCAGGCAGTGGGCAGTCGGGCCAGGACGTCCATGTAGTGGAAGCGGCACCACTCCTGACAAGTAGGTGCGGTAGAAGCAGTCACCACCGCTGCTGTTGCACTGGAAGGTGGGGAGTCAGTTCAGACACAACTCCTCACCTACCCATGACCAGGTGCACTCTCCTCGGGCAGCATGCCAGCACCCCCACACCAGTCTGAAGCCCGCCTTGGGCTCTCTGTACAGGTGCCTCAGCCACTAGCAGACGGATCCCATGGAGCTGGATGGGGGGCTTGGGGCCAGAAACACTGGCAGAGGGGACATGGCTGCCCTTGGTGAAGTGGTACTTGTATAGGGAGTAGATGTTCTCCTGGGCAAGAGTGTCCAGCACCTCCAGATGGCACGCAGTAGGGCTCGGCCTGGGGGCACATCGTATCGGAGCCGCTATCCCAGGGCCCCCCATGTGATCCCCTAGGGCATTCCTGGAGAGACCCTGGTGAGGGCCCCTCACTGGTCCCCAACAGGCAGCACCTGGCAGCCTCAGCCTCTCTAAACCTCATGAGGACCCAGCCCCTCCCCCACTTCAGGATGCAGGAGAGGGACTCTGAGTCCGGAGCTGGACCTGGGCTCTCCCCAGGCCTGCAGAGCTGAGATCAGACCCCTGGCCTGGCCCTCCCCCAGTGCTCACAGCCCCCACCTCCCTTGGTTCCTGCCCCCTCCTGGGGGAACCCAAGCTGGCAGGCCAGCTCAGACTGCCCTTTGGGAGAGCCCCTCCTCTCCTCATCCCTGGGCTCCCAGCGACTGGGTGTCCCTTGGGAAGTCCTGGCTGGGCACAGCATAGGTCATCACCCAGGGCCAGGCTTCAGGTGACTGTGTTCCGGGAGAAGTCCCAGGATGTGAAGAGACAGGCAGCCCACCCCTCAGGCTGACACCCGCAGGTCCTCACTGGGGTGAGTTCCTGTCGCCCAGGGTGACTGGGGGAAGAAGAGCTGGCGTTCCGAGTGCATGGACACTGTCACGATGACTGGGTAGTGCCAGTACTGCTCCAGCAGGAGCCCAGGCTGCCAGCAGAGCACCCCCAGGGTGCCCAGAAGCAGCAGCCCCCAGGAGGTAGTCTGGAGAGGGTTCCAGCAGGAGCAGACCAGGCCGACCAGGCCATGTTGGTGGTATTGGAGCAGAAGGAGGCCAGCAGGTCTCTGAAGGAGGCACACAGCTCCACCAGCCACTCCCCTCCTCCTCAAACCATGGCAGGGCCAGCTAGCTCTGGTGGTGCTTCCAGGGCCCAGGCCCTGTGTCAGACGCTTGGGCCGTGGTTCCACCCTGTGTCCAAGAAGGGAACCTCCGAAGGCCCCTGCCTGCCACCCAGGTGGCTCCCTGCCTGACCCAACCAGCAGCCACCCCCCACTCCCAGCCCAGCCAGGTCTCCCCAGCCAGGATCTGGCAGTTCTCTGATCTCTGTCTCTGGAATATCTGGACATTCATGTCCCTTGGCCACAGAGGCACAGCCCAGCCTGACAGACTTTGAGGACTGTCCACCTCTTGGCCTGAATTACTTCTTGTGCCTGGGGTGTGGCCTGCTGAGGTCCAGCACCCTCCCTCTGCCGAGGCTTGGGCTGGGATCTGCTGCAACCCAGCCTGCCTGTGCCCTGCTGGGTGTGCCCAAGCAGGCTGCTCCAGTGTGCTCTGGGAACATGCGCATCAGGGCCAGCCAACTAGCTTTTGGGGTCCCTGGAAGCAGGGGTGGAGGCCCCCATGTGCCTGGCAGTACTGAGTGCCTACAGTGGCCACACCAGTATCCTGCGGTCACGCCAAGCCCTCACAGGTAAGCCAGGAGGGGGACTGCATGTTATGGGAGGCCAGGAAGGTCCAATTTTCTTAGGAACAGAAACCCCTGTTCTGAAGGGCGGGGGAACTCCAGAGAGGGGACTGGAGGCACAAGAAGTGGGCACAAGAGGTGCCCTTGCAGATGCCAGAGGCCTCCGTCACCGCAGGAGATCAGGTGCAGCCCTGAGGCACACACAGGTGCTTACACTCACACATGTCTGCTCACACTCACCAGGAGTGCTGCCCGGTCAGCAGGCCACACAACAGAGGATGAACTGGAACCCTGCTTCCTAGGGCTGCACACCCTTCCTGCCCTGGTCCTTCGTGTCTGAGTGTGTGAGAGACAGGACCAGGCCAACCCCTCTGCCCTGCCTGGCTCCATGCTGACAGTGTGACCAACACGTGGCTCGCATCGTGTGTACTCTGTATGGTTACTGGCGCCGGGACACACGCTATTGGGGGCGTTCCCCCAGGTGCTGTGCCCACGGTGTCTGTAGTGTTCCTTCGGCTTCTATTTAGCAAACACTGTACACCACACAGTGTACAGTGTGTGTAGTGTCCTTTGCTCCAGGCCAAGTCCACCCAAAAGATGACCTACCCTGATGGCCACGAAGGGCCCGCCCTGACCCCCAGGAGCCAAGTGCAGGGAGTGGCGCCCGTGCCAAGCATCTTCAGTACCTCGAGCCTCCATTCCTCATCCATGGTGTGGTGTGTGACCAAGATGGTGATAGCTTCAGAGCTTCAGTAGGTCACTGAGCAGGATGTGGCAGCTGGGCAGCTGCCTCTTTAACCAGCTGCTGGGTGTGGGGTGGGGCTTCATGGGAGGGGCCCAGCCAGCAGGGGCAGCCTTACCTGCTCTGGACTGGAAGCTGAATTCTCCGGGAGGTAGAGAGGTGGGGTCCCTCTGCCAGGTAAATCTTTCTCAGCCTGAGCTATGCAGAGCAGGCCTGGGCCCCTGACCCTGGCTGGGGTGAGGGGTAGCCATTTTTGGAGGGAGAGGAGAGGCCCTTGTTGGGCTGGTACCCTCTATCACACTGGCCCCTCAGACTCTGTCTGGCTCTCAGGGGTTTGGGCCCTCCCCTCCCGGCCCACTCTCCTGCCAGGCCTGGAGGAAGGCCCGCTCATCCCCGCTTGCCTGGCTYAGGCCTCCAGCCCTGACTATAGGTGTCTGTGGCTGAGGGACCCTGGGTGGGGCCTCCCTCTCAGAACACAGATGTTCCTTGAAACAAGGGCTCAGCATGGGTAGGGGTGCGAATTGTGAGAACGACCTCAGTCCTGGGTTTGCAGAAGGCACCTGGTGGCCTCACCCTCTCCCAAGCTGAGGTTACCACCAACCACCCTGAGATGACAGGTCACATGCTAAAACCCTATACCACGTACTAAAAGCCCAGCACAGGATAGGGCACCCACAGTGTGGTTGTGTAAGGCTGAAGGCCAGAAGACAGGATCCCCTGTCCTGTCTCTACAAGGGGAGCCTGCATTTCCCCAGGTTGACCAGTGGTCTCTGCATTCCAAATGGCCAGCGCTGCATCGCGGTCCCAGTTGGAGGGGTAGGTTCCAGCCCTGGTGCCACCTCATCAGGGCAAGCTCTGGGTTCCTGACATTTCACCCCAAAGGACTTGGGTTAGGATGAGGAAGGGAGCCCTACTCCCATGGGGTCCAGATTGCATAGCCTTGACTCTAAGGCACATTGAGGTCCTTGGTCCCATGGCTCTGGAAGCAGGCAGAGGCTGGGGTGTGACAACTCGGGAGAAGGAAGTCAAGCTGGGGAAGAGCCGGCCCTGGACTGGCCTGGGCTGGTGCTGATCACAGCTCTGTCATTCACCAGGTTCATGGCATTACGCAAAGTACTCCACCTCTGAGCCTATTTCCTCAATGTAACCTGGGGCTGAAGTTTCTCTTCCAGCCCAAGGATGGACTAACTAATGCAGCTGGTGCGGCCCCCAGACTCAGCACAGGCCTGGGCTTTCTCAGGCCCCAGTCCTGATCCTTTGGAGGGTGGGGCCTGTGTGGGGGTGCCATTTCCATATTCCTTCCCGCAGCCGGGGAGGAAAGGTGAAGGGCCCCAGGCTCTCTGGGGTTGTTGACATTGAATGAACTTGTGTCTTCCAGCATTGCAGGGGCTGCGGAAGGGAACACGGAAGAGGAGCTGGGCTGGGAGCAGGAGCAGGCCTTCAATGACTCAAATTGGGCTGTGAGGGTCCTTGACATCACAGGAAGGGACTTCAGGACCGGTCAAAGTGAGGCACAGAAGGATTTTTGACAGAAAGCAAGAAGTACACACTTTGAGATAGGGCAGTGTGGGCCGTTGGAGAGGAGCCATGTTGTGTAAACACTCTGCTGTGTGAATTTAAACAGTCCTTCGTCGAGTCATATTGAGGGTCTGACTGAGAGCGTGACAGTGACGTACAGAGCATAACAGAATCCTAAAATAGGAGTCACAGGAGTTATCTTTTGGACCCGCTTTTCCTTACGCAGGGGAGGTCACCAGGACTGTGCGTGGGCGTGGGTGGGTTTTAAACCTCGCCCCCTTCCCACCTGCTCCTTCTTCCWCCCCAACCCGCCACCTGCCGCCCCTGCCCCACCGAGCTGCGCCCCAGGGCCAGGGAGGGGCCGTGGGAGCGGAAGTCCAGCCTGGGCCCAGTGTCCATGGGCATAAAGAGCCCATTCACGGGCTGGGTGGGAAGCTCTGGCAGGAGACACTGGAGCTATTTTTATGAGGACGGCAGTCCCCGCGGCCGGGGCGGGCGGGCTGGCCCGTGGCCCTCGCGGGCCCCGCGGGAGGGGCTAGGGCGGGCGAGGCCGGGCTGACTGGCAGGGTGGCTCAGAGGACGCGGCACTCGGGAGTGAGTCTGGACCCCGGGCCGGGGGTCCCCCTCCAACTGGGCCTGTGTGGAGGGTAGCGGGTGGTGGGGGCCGGCGGCCACTCGCTGACTCCTGGTCTTCTGCGGGACAGCGTCCGCGCCGGGCGACGCCTGGGAGGAGCCGGGAGGAAAGATTCTGGCGGCCCCGGGGCGCGGCCCAGCCCCACGGCGCTGTCCACCAGTGCGCACGCGCCCGTCGCCCACCTCGGAAGCCGGAGACCCAACCTAGCGGGGCGGGGGTGACAGAGAGACACGGGCGCCGTCCTCCCAGCTGCCTAGAGTGGTCGCTATGGCGAACCGCGTACCGGAAGCGGAAACGGGGTCAGGGCCCGCCTCGCGAGCGGCCATCTTGGAAGCTGAGGCGGCGGCGGCGCTGCGGCGGGTGCTGTGCGCTCGGTCCCGGCGCGGTGCGGCTCTGCGGCGTGGGCCCTTTTCTTCCGCACCCTGCTCCGGCCTCGACCACGGCGAGCCTGAGCGCGGCGGCGGCCCACCTGCGGCGACGGGGAGAGGTGAGGGCGCGCGGGCTGCTCGGTGGCCTCGGGCCGCTCGTCCGCCGCGCCGGAGCCGGCCACAGGTCCGGACGGGGGGCGCGGGGCCTCGGGGTCACCGCACGGCCCTTCCCGGTTCGCGTCCGCCGCCCGCGGGGCCCCGGAGCCGAGGTCGGTTACGGCGGGGCGCCCGGGGTCCGGGCCGCGGGTGGTCCACGGTCCGGCTGGGCGACTTGGTTGACCGTACGCCAGGGTCTCCCGTGAAGAGGCCTCCTGCTGGGGACGCTGGCGGGTCCTTGGAGGCGGAGCTAGCGTTGATGTTGGTTTGTAAACGTGTCTGGAGAGTCGTGAGCTTGGAGGGCGGCTGTCGTTGAGCCCGCCGCCGCTTCACTCCCAACAGTTAGAACCTCAACTACTTGGCAGCTCCCAGCAGAGCTGCCAGCATCGTGCCCTGGGCGTGGGGGAGCAGGAGGTGCGGCCGGGAGGGTGGGCCCGGGGCGCGCCTGGTGAGCCAGCGCTCACCCTGCGCCCGGCCTCCCTGCCCGCCTCTGCGCCATCCCCACCAGTGACCTTCCGGCCGCCGCCGCCTCAGTGAATACCACTTAGCAGGTGTGCGGGTAACTCCTTCAGTTTCCTACAAGAGCAGCAAGGCTGCACACAACCCAGGGGGCAGGCAGCTAATGAGTATGGAACAATTGGCACATTTGTCTGTAGGCAGTGGTACAGAGCTCTGTTCAGTCCAGGTGGTCTGGTATAATGTGGCTTTAGAAGAGAGGGACTTCAGGCTTTTACCTAACTGAAAAGTTCACTTCCTACACTTCAGGCATGTTAGATCTGGGTGCTAGAACTTGTACTTGGTGATCTGCACCACTTGGCCTTGTGGACTTCTGCAGCAGCTCTTTTCTCAGGCAGTGTTGTTCTTGCGTGGTGGTGGGGGGCTGTCTTCGTCAACCCCTGGATTTTCCTTTCCAGCTTATGTAGCAGTCTGGAAAAAGACTGTGTGGAAGTCCTGGGCCTGGGTATGTCATGTGCTCAGTCAGACCAGGATCTCGTGCCACACTATCACCTGAGTTTTATGCACTCATGTGAGAGAGGTCTAGAGGAGAAAGGAACGGGGAAAATGGATATCGGTCAGGCACCACCTTGGCATAGTGACCCCCCCCAGCCTTGAAGGTGATTCAGGTTGCTTTCTGTCAGTTTTTGTGTTAATATATATGTATTTTTAAATTTGTGCCACATTTGTGTGTTTTTCTGTGTGCACTCTTTCCTTCATGTGACACACCTGCGTGCTTTGTGGGAACTTGGTTGGAAGGGAGCCTGAAGCACATACACTTCTTACTATGTTTTCGTGTTTCCACTTCTTTGTGGGACTTTCCCTGTCCTTGCCCTGTCTTATTTTGGTGGAGAGAATTGAGAGACAGCTGCCTGCTGTCCCAGGGGATGGAGACCATTGTCCTGAGTGAGGCAGAGGAGGGTAGTTGGGGAAACTGAGTAGTTGAATCATAAATATGACTAAAACTTATGCGTCTAAAAGCAAGTACGGGGCTCGGGGTAAAGCACTTGCGTAGTATGCACAAGGCCCTGAGCTCATCTCCACACTGCAAAAAGGAATGAATGAGTAAATAAAGGCAAGTCTGAGAGACAAGTTTTTCTTGTGACTAACTTGGCAGGATCTGCTTTGTTCATTTTGTATGGCTGACCACTGTCATTAAGGGTCTGACCCAGCTACTCAGCTGAGTCTAGACASAGTTTGTATTTGAGCTACCCAGTGAATTATTTTGTTCATGGTGGAGTGTTAATCGCAGGAACGAACATTTCCATCTTGGGTGGTGGACCTGCTTGTGGATTGTCAGGTTTCTCACCAGGTGCTGGTGTGAAGTAAGCTTTCTATTGTAGGGCATCCCATTCCAGGCCTGGGAACAGCGCTGTGTGGAAGCACTCCTTTCCTAGAAGGACTCTACCCTTCTCTTGGTGCTGACACTCTTGGGGAAGGTCAAGCAATGGAGCCTGTCCTCCCCTTTGCTGATGCCTAAAAGGCCTCTACTGGGTGTGGTTTGGGCTGTGGAGGCTGATGGTGAAGGATGGGGTGGTGCACTTGTCTAGAGCAACTGGGCTTGTGAGGGGCATGTGGTGAATGAAATGAGTAGGGCCTAGGTGTATTTTCAATCCTTCAGACTGGCCTGGGAAGCAGCCATGAGAATGGGTGGGTGTGTCAGGCTGTATCAGGAGCCTTGAGAGGTAGGAGAACTGTCTGGGCTACTTCAAGGGATTGGCAGACAGGGGAGCTGTTGGTGTTTGTCTGCTTGGCTGTGGGGAATACCGAAGGACCTTTGTAGGGAGGTGGTGATCAAAAATATTGACATAAGTACCTCAGATGGATTGAAATGGGGGAGACTAGAACCTTTGTGACTGACAGGAAGAGTAATGAGGTCCAGCATTGGGGTTAGTGTAGTAGGAACAGAAAAGGAGTGAATAAGGGTTACAAGGATCGGGGACCCCCATTGGAAGCTGGGTGGGCATTTGTGCTGAGGCCATGTCCATGGAGTAGTGCAGTGGGTGCTTTGGCTGAGCCCTGCTTTTGCAGGCTCTGAGGGTACAGAGGAGCGAGCAGGTGGGGAGGCAGATACAATAGTTTGTGGTGGTGGTGCTCTGGAAAAGTCAGCCAGGCCAGGGACCAAGAGTCTGGAGACCTCTAGGTAAGATGACATGTAGGCAGACCCTGAAGAGGGTGAAGGAGCACGCAGCCCTCCAGGGGGAACCATACCTGCACGTCCCCAAACCTGGGTTGACTTCTGGTTTGTACTCCCTGGGAGATTAGGATGGAGATCACTGGTTGTTATTGATGTCCTCTGGTGTCTGGGGTTATTATTAAAGTCTTTGACCTGTGAGCACTCAGGAGAGATGAGTTGGGGACACAGTGGCAGTTTTTGTTGGTGGCAGGAGGAGGAGGAGGCTACAGAGGGGGCGAGTCTGAGCAGTGTAACGAGGTATAGCCATGGCTCTCTGACTGCCCACCTCCAACCTTTCCTAGTCTATCCGAGCACATCTCCTGCTTCTTCCTGTCCTCTTCATCCGGTGTATCCCCATGTATCCCCTCTGTCATATTTGAGCCAGTGGTTACCACACTTTATTTTTAGCTGAAAAAAAATTTTTTTTTATCTTAATTTATGAGAAACTCCAGTGTAGAAAAGAGAATGAATAAGTCTATGTCAGTAGGGAGCCTTGTATACTTCATTGCTGCCCCCTCCTCACCTCAGGAGCATGACTGAGGGGTTCCAGGGTCCATGATCCACTCTGTTATGGTGTGGCCTCGTTCCCCACGCACAAAGGTGCCATCCTGTATGTTCCATGCTCCAGAGTGACATTTCCCACAGAAGACCCAATCTGCTTAAGGCTGGGATCTAAAACCCTTCTGGGGTTCTGCTTGGCAGCCTGGCCCACCTGTCCTTGCCTTGCCTCGCCTCACCAGCTAGTCTTGTCCCCCAATGTTTTGCTGTGCTTAGGTATCCAACACAATGATCAGTGCAGTCCCCTAGGCATGCCTTCCCGCTTACTCAGTGAGTGCTTCAGAATCTTTTCAAAGTCCTCGTCTCTTGAACCTCAGAGCTTCTCTTTTCCTGTCTCTTATGACCAGTGGTAAATGTTAGATCTTTGGACTGACAGACTTATAGGGTGGGAGTTTGGGGCTGGTCTGTGATGCTTGCCAGTTTTCTTTGAAATGAATACTCTCCATTATTGAGGCCTTGCTGAGAAGAGTTGGAAGATGTGCCTGGCTACTCTTTGGAGCTAGTCCAGGCTGGCTTCACCACATTTACCTACAACCTGTTAAGTGAGTTGTCTTTACTCACATAAGTTCTTAGAGGACAGGCGTGAGCCTTCACGGCTCTCCTTGTCTTTTTGCATCTGTTGGGTGCTCAGTAGTACATGTTGGGGAACAGACGGAAAGAGAATGAGGGTTAGGGGCCCAGAAGGATGACCCGCTGTGTAAAGGAATACAAGGTGCATGACTGCTGAAGCGCCTGAAGGTGGGGAGAGCCAGTGTGTGTATCTTCTCTCTGTAAACAGGAGTGCTTTTTTTAATAGATGAGCAGCAGCAGCAGCAAGAGAGCCCCAACGACAGCAACCCAAAGACTGAAGCAGGACTACCTTCGGATCAAGAAAGACCCGGTGCCTTACATCTGCGCCGAGCCCCTCCCTTCCAATATTCTCGAATGGTAAGACTGTCTGTGCCACCCCTGTGCCCTGCTGCTCCACACAGGCTCTCCACTAGCCCAACTAGAGGGCCTGGTGCTCCTGGGCATGGCTGTGGAGAGGCACTGCTGCACCCTTAGCTGTAGTGGACACCAAGAGACCTGAGGACACTCTCTGGTCTTCTTCCCAGCTGGTGGCATGCCAGGGATACTACAGGGTCCTGCTTGGCTTAGGCCGGAGCTGGAAAGAGACCCTTCTTGGGGGGGGTCCCAGGGCAGGCTTCAGGTGTGCAGGATGCCTGATGATCATGTGTACCTGCAGGCAGCGCTTGGAGGAGAGCCTGTATTTCTAGACTCTCCTGTACTTTGCTTTTGAATTTACCTGGGAGTATTTGTGACAGGGTCCTGACACTCCAGGTGCCTCTGATCTTTGGACTGACAGAGGGCCTGTGGAAAGCATCCATTCCACCATACCACCACCCCCCCTTTTTTTAAGTAAACTTTAAAAAAAAATTATTTTTTAGTTGTAGTTGGACACAATATCTTTGTTTTTATTTATTTTTATGTGGTGCTGAGGATTGAACCCAGGGCCTTTCACGTGCTAGGTGAGTGCCCTACCGCTGAGCAACAACCCCAGCCCCCACCATTACCTCTTTGGCCGAATTAAAAGGAACTACACACCTCTACTGAAATGTCATGGCTAGCTCAGCTGGCAATTTTATGAGACGTGAAATATAAGGCTGAGGTGTTAGAAAGCACTTTCTCTTTGTTTGGATCTTTTGTCTTGATCTTCAAAAAATACTTCACTTTTTTAAAAATCTGAAGCAAAAAGATTTTAACTGAGTTACAAAGAAGCATTATGCAGGTTACACAGGATCCCCTCCCAGGATCACCGAGGAGGCCTAGCACTGGCAGGTGGGGCTCCTGCTGGGGAGGTCAAGCCCCTCAGCATGGGGGGCTTCCAGTGGCACCGGAGTGCTCCCCTGCTCCCAGGACATAGCTGGCAGGTATGGGGGCTGTTCCATGGTGGCTTACCTCTTCCCTGATTCATGGGAACTTCCTTATTGTGTGGGAATCCTTCCCCACACGAATCTATGGGTCAGGGGTTCCCAGGACCACCTAGATTTTTTTGATGTGCTAGGAGGACTCATCATTTAGAGGTTTTTTTTTTTTTTTTTTTTTTTTT